TCACCACCATATCAAATCAAATACCAACAAAAATTAGAACAACTGTAGCCACCACCAACCACCTTCGTTGCTCGGAACCACCATGACTGCCACTACCAAACACACCAACAATACCCAAATCACACCTCACCAACACCACCCACATCACTGCTGCCAACATGAACACCTCCATCGCCACCAGAAACCACAAGAACACCTCCACCACCACCAGAAGACACCACAACTACCACTACCAAACACACCAACAACACATAAGAACATCTCCACCACCAACATGACCACAGCCGAAAACGAACATAGCCACCAGGACCATAACCAACACACAAGACACCACATCTTTGACATATAACAGACCCACGACATCGATCGCAGCTGCAGACCACAAATGGCTATGGTTCTGGAATAATCAAAGTTCACGACAACAAATCACAAACCCCCTTGCCGTCATCGTTGTAAGCGGTGAACCGGCGCTCACACCCCTCGCCATTGCCTCGCCATATGTCGCTACAAGAGTGCTGCATCATGCGACGGTACAACAAGGTGCCAATCGATCGGCTAAAATAGAGAGGGGTGGGTAGGAAAGATGGATCAAAATAGGAAAAATCGCTTTCGACCGGCCGAAATAGAGAGGCGTGGTTCAAGTCCGATGGTAACACCGTCGCGCCGGAGATTCTCTTCCATGGCGGCAGCACGACTGTTGAGAGAGGAGAGAGGCGCCGACTATTGACAGAGGAAAGAGACGCCGACTGTTGAGAGAGGAGAAAACCGGGAAGAGAAATTAGAGATGGGGATGGGGAATTTAGGTTTTGTAGTGGGTACTTGATTTTTGCATAAAGTTTCTTTACCCCTCAATTATGAATTTGAAAGTTTAAATACCTGGTTTTATGTAATTTTCTCTAATTTTAAAGGGCATAATTGATAAATACTCTTAAAAATTTTACTAATATAATTTTTTTTACTAATATCATACTTACTTTTAATACTTTTTTTATCCTCAGAATGCATTTTTTATTCTTTTTTGTTTTAATTTATTTACTATAGATTTTGTAATAAAATGTGTTAAATTTTATAAAATTGTGGTACACACATTTGATCATCCCTATTTTCACCACTATCGTTGTCGTTGTCGTCGATGTCGACGTCGCCTGCCGCTACCACCAATTGTAACATTGTGTGTTACTCATAGTTTATTGCATATTTTCACCGTCACCACATCTCCACCACCACTTGTAACATTTAATGTTATACCACCATCGACACATCATTTGTAATATTTATTATTACATCACCTCCACTGCTTGTAACATTTATTGTTATACTATCGTTGTGGCCATCGGACATCGTCATACATTAACACACTGTGTTACAACCTATCCTCACTATTAAAAAACTAGATCACCACCAACGTCGTTTCGTCATCACTACCACCATTACCATAACTGTCATCATCACTAACACCATTATCTACAACTATCGTTGGTCAATAATGATGGACATCGGTGGTTGTGGCGGTCGCAATGATTGGTGTTGTGAGATAGTGGGTGGTTGGCGATTGCAAGGATGGTTAGATATGGGTCATTTACAACAATTGCAAGGGTGGGGGGTCAGATTTTAGGAAGAAGGTGAAGTGTTTGTTTGGGTCAAACAGTCGGTTCAACCATAAACTAGACAACTGACAGCGATTTTTCAAATTGTTCCAATCAAAATTTGAAATTATTTATAAAAATAATACTATCTAGTACTAGTCTAGTTTGCCATTTAAATGAACCTATTATTTAATGTCATATATTTGACACGGAGACTGGTATTTGATATCAGTATTGCTAAATAATATTACTCTTATTTACAATTGAAAATTGCTCTTTCTCATCACATGGATTCGGTGCGTAACTGCTTTCAAGACATCCATTCGACAACCTTTTAGTAAGGCCTCCTCTTATCATCCCAAGTATCAATTTCTGATGTGAAAGCTTCTTAAAAGTTAAGCACCTTGTTTGAGCCCCATTTTTTCAAAATTCATTTTCAACTACACATTCTTTCATAAAATAATATTATGCATAAGCCCAATATTTTCTCTATTTTTTAAACTATATTTCTCCAAAAAAATCATTATTCCAAAACTCATTTTTCCCAAAAAAAAAAAAAAAAAAAAAGTTTCTCAAAAGACTTATAGTTTTTACACATATTAGCTAAACTAAAATTAGTTAGGGTTTAAATTATAATAAGGTGGGATAAGCAAAAAGGAAAAAGAAAAATGAAAAAAGAAAAAAAGGGGGAAAAACAGGCAACGAGACTACTCCAAAGTCAAAAACAATTTTTAATAAATAAAACTTAATGGTTGGATTCTTCTTAGTCATGAACCACTGGACCCAATCTCAGATATATGGTGTCTACTGGGCTTTTGAAAATCCCGTGAGGTTGTTATTGGACAGCCTGATGGGCGCTTTCTAAAGTAATAGCTTGATGGAGTCTCTTTTTCTTCAACAATTGGACCATTCCAGCCCACTAACCCGAGCATGTTGAGCTAAGCTTAATGATTAATTACAAGTAAATAGGTAAGATTTAAAAAAATGTTGAGCTAAGCTTAAAAATAAATTATAAGTAAATAGATAAACTTTAAAAAAAAAAAAAAATAATCCAACAGTTAAAGTTAAAAATAATCTAGTCACTTATATTGACTGAAGTAGAGCATTATTAGTCATAAAACATAACTCAGATATAAGGTTAGTAAATCTGTCAAAAAAAAAAAGTTATTGAAAACTAGAATTTTACTCGAAACTTACAATATTCTTGGTGATTGAATGGTTCATCCTCTACCTTGTAATAACAATACGATAGTCATCTTGATTAAAACCAATTGTGTCAAATCTAGATTAACGACCAATAATAGTACTATACAAGCCATTTGATTGAGAATTTCTATATCTAGTTTGTAATTACAACCAATTAAGATATAAGATGGTTTCTTTTAAAGAATTAAGTAGTTGTGATGCATTTTGTGTAGACACATAGAGATTTCATTCACAAAATAATGATATTGGTTAAAAAAAAAAAAAAAAAAAAAAGGAGGTTAGTACAGGGAAGACTAAAAGTAAAGGACACAATCTATGGCAAATTTTAAGAATTTTTTTTTTTTTTTTAAAAATCTTCTAGTAGATCTAATAAAGAATCGAACAGAATGACAAAAGTGTTCATGAAATCGATTTTAAATTTTATTGGGAAAATACTAGTCCATTGTTATTGTATATTGTTTCATCATTAGCCTAATCTCCTAAGCGTTTCTCTCTCATTTTTTATACAAAAAAAGCTTAAAAGTTACACATTTTCTGGAATGGAAATAGCTTGCCAATGAAGTGGGGATGCAAATGATAACTGATCAAACATAGTGGGAATTGAACTTTATATTTTTTTGATCTCTGAATCTTGCAATGGAATTTGGGATAAAGAAAGAACAAAATGGTTCTGTTTTGGTGGAGCTGCTTTAAATAAGGAACCTTATTCTGCTAGGAAGAAGCTCAGTATCCAATTCTTTATGCAATTGATTCCTTGAGTCTTCAAAGTGTTACTTTTCCAAGCTGTATCACACATATTTATGCCCACACGAATTCGATGGTTATAATTGTTTAGGATTTAATTTAAATAATTAAATGTATTTTTTTAAAAGATTTTTTTTTTTGATGTCGAAAACGATATTAAAGTAAACAAATATCATTTTTAATGTTCTTAATTTCTGTAAAAAAAATAAGTTTTCTATTAGGTATTTGGAACATATTATTCTTAGTTCTAAGTCTAATAGACGCCTATTAATAAAAACTCTCTAAATGTCATACTTGTGAGAAATGTGACAAAGAGATGAAGGGGCGTGTTAAAGATTAAAACTAAATAAATGTATCCCAAATAAAAAAAATCCAATATGCATGAGAGGGAATCCCACCTTAGATCGTAATTAAATAAAATTGGCTTAGATCATAATTTTAATGAGTCAATCCCATTAAAATCACCGTTCTCGAATTTAAAAAAAAAATGTGGGCATTTGGGAGGCAAGAATCATAGATTTTTATTCGAATAATCTCTGCTCTTTAGAAATAAAAGTAGTCCAATAACCATATCTCGATCAGTCCATACTTATTGGTATTCAATGAGGAAAATATGTTGCATATTGTCAATGTCATCTATCATAATCTCTTACATGGCTAGTTTGGTGAGGTGGAACATATTAACACAATTGGATAATATTTTTTGTCTAATATTAATCGAAAAAGTAGCTAAAATTGTGTCTACAATACTATCCAATTGCATTAAGTGTTACACAACAAACTTGACATATCATGTAATAGCAATTAATTAATAGATTGAAGTAGTTCTTCTTCCTTGCAATTTTGGAAAAAAATAAAATGATAAACAAAATAGAAAACGAACAATTTACAGTCTTTGCATTGCCATCAATTTTCTTTTTCTTTTTTGACATTATTGGAAAATTAACAACATTCACAATCTGAAAACAAACAGGGGATTTTCATCTCCATTACAATGCAGAAATTTGTCTAAAATTCACTCCAGAATGTAATTTTGTTACACTGCTGAAATTCATTTCATCCAGCCATCTTTTTCAGCCTTGAATAAAGGCCAAAATGATGAACCATGTGAGTGAGAAAATCAACATAGCCCCTGCAAGAACAAAATCATTTAGAATTTAGAACCCAATCATTGAATACTAAATAATAAATTGTTACCTCTTTTTTTTTTACATGAGGTGATTCAAAGGTAGATGTCTTGATTTTAAGTTTTGTTGTGAGTCATTTATAAAATAAATAAATCCGTCCTGCAGCATATACTAAATTTGTATAAACAAATTCGTTCTCTCTGTTTAAACTTTAAATGAGATAATTCGAAAGTAAATTGTCGTGAATTCAACTTTTTCTTAAATTTATGCTTGTGTTAGGCCTTGATTCAAAAAAAAAAAAAGAAAAAAAGAAAAAAAAAGGGGAGAAAAAAAACCAACAAAAAGCATGTGCCAAAGTGGTACCTAATGAAGTTTGTAGCTACAATGTTCACTCAGCTTTTGGTCTGATCTCAATCCCTTGAATAACGACACCATTCTTCCAGTTTCCACCCTTTGTCTCTGTCAAACTTATTTCCATATCCAAATTTTGTTCTCCTTCCACGTAAAACTCTCCCAACCCAACTTCCATCCACTTATCTGCTCTAACCTTGGGGTACTCGGTAATGCGCTCTGAGGCCAAATCACCTCGCCGTCTGTATATATGAGCCAACCGATGATTGAAAAATATGCGCCTAGGTACAATCTGGTACCTATGCCTTTGTTCTCCGTCTGGATCTAAACACACCGTTCGTTTTACACCATCCTGCCCACTAATTCCTACCGTAGCCTCAGCAGGTTGATACTCAAAACCGTATATTCCTGATTTTGAAGTGAAAACAAGGTAAGCAGCATATGTAGTTCCTGAAGAGAGCATGCTAGTGTTTATTTTGCCACGAATTTCAAACCAACACACATCAAGAAGCTCTGCCACCTCAGGAAATCTGAAATAAAACGTGCAATGAGCTATCAGCATTCAAAATAATTGATAGAAAGAAAAGATACTTGTTCTTATGCAGGATAACTGTAAAACCTGGACTCTGGATAAGGGATCCATCGCCAATATTCAGGTGTATCACCCCACACAATCAAGAGGTCCCTTGCAGCGAGCATAAAGCACTTCTTTCCTGTCCCTTTGTCCAATGAAAAGCTCTGCAATTAAAGAGAAGCATTAGGATGCATACCCAACTAGAATAAATGAGATCAAAATGTAAAGAGACGCCATCACAAGTGACAACTATAAACAAACCTTTAGTCAATTTGTACCTTGGTTGAGCATTGGGCATTGAGGCATAAAAATTATTGAACATTGGACATTATGAGGCAAAAAATATTCAATGCTGTAAAGGGGGGGGGTAGGGGTAGGGGTGGGGGTGGGGGCGGGGGTGTTAAGGGATAAAAACCCCACATTGAACAAAGATGAATACACAGACCAATTTATAAAGAATTTGAGTACTCTTTTTAATAAGGTTGACATTTTAAGATGAAACTTTAAATCGGTGTAGGAAAAGGATCCACAATTTAAGAAGAATGTGCATTTACATGCATCATGGGGATTGGTGTGTTAGGATATGAGAGCTTTTGGTTTCACTCATCTCAAAAAAGTTCTTGCTTTGGTTTAAGGATCTTGCTACGTGTACATCAAACTTTACAAAATGGGTTACATGATGTTACAAGAAATCAACTCAAATCGACTTAACAAATGATCGAAAACCCTCAGACCAAAGGCATCAAGATTTTCATCAATTTAGGCTCAGATTATGCATTGTACCCATCTGTACAATGTCGAAAGCTCATAAACCACAGTCCCAAAGAACAAACACAGAGGCAGTCACTACACCGGACCTAAAACCCCCCAAACCCGAACAGGAAACTATCATCTAACCACAATCGAACAGTCACACAGATCGGGAGACGACACAGTAGCCACAAAACCAAAGGTTTTATGGCTTAATCACCAGATTTACGAAGAAGGAGAGGAGGCAGAAGACACAGAGTCGCCCAAGAGAGAAACCCAAAAGGTTCGAGAGAAAAAATCACCAAGAGGCAGAGAGAATATGACTCAGAATTAGGGCAAAACGTCTCAGACCCCGTTTATATATTAATGGATCATCATCGTAGATGTTAGGTTAAGTAGATCAAAGGGTCCAGAGCGACACACGTGCGTTATTGCATTTGGGTCGTGTTTCATTTGCTTTCAACATTGAGTTATTGGGCAATGGGCTGGGTAGTATCTGTTGGACCTTTTAATATCATCATTGCCCAAATGGGCTGGACACACAAGTATATATTTTTGGCATCACAGCCCAATAAATTTCCCCCTTGATGCCAATGATCCAAACTCACAAAGACAAAGAAAAGAAAAATATAACAAAAGACTTTTCAAGCAATTGGTATAATTCTTTATAGATCATCAGCACCAAGTCAAATACACCTGCACAAACACAAAGTTTACCCACTATCAATTCTTAAGAGTTGCAAACATGACTTAAACTTATTTACAGGAAGTACCTTAGTACCCATATCAGCGGGGTTAAACTGAGTAGGAATTTTCTCAAGCAAAATAGATTCTTTTTCCACAATATTTCTAATAAAATGCATTCTCACATCCATGTGTTTAATTATTTCATGAAAAATTGGATTTTTACATAGATGTATAACACTTTAACTATCAGAGTATACAACAACAGGGTCAACAAATTCATTTACCTCATTTAGAACACCTTTCAGCCATAAAGCATCTTTAATGGCCTCAGTTGCAGCCACATATTCTGCCTCAGTAGTTGATAAGGCTACAATTGATTGCAATTGAGACTTTCAACTTATACAAGTATCACACAAAGTAAACACATAAGCAGTAGTTGATTTTCTGTTATCTCTATCACCGGTATAGTCAGAATCTACGTATCCTTTTAAACTAACTCCCTCTTTACTAGATCTAAAACATAAGCCTAAGTCTGCTGAGTCTTTCAAGTACCTTAATAACCATTTCATTGCATTACAATGTTCAAGGCCAGGGTTGGACATAAATCTACTTAAAGTACTTATAGCATGTGCAACATCGGGTTGTGTGCAAACCATGGTGTACATTACAGATCCAACATCATCTGAATATGGTACCTTTTCCATATATTTAATATCAGATTCATCATGTGGAGACTGATCTTTACTCAACTTAAAATGACATGTAAGAGGTAATGTCATAGATTTAGAATCATGCATTGCAAACTTGGATAGGACCTTCTTCACATAATCAGTTTGTGACAACATTAATAACTGCTGAGACCTATTTCTTTTAATGTCCATCCCTAAAATTCTTTTAACATGCCCAAGGTCTTTCATTTCAAATTCAGCACTAAGCTTATTTTTAATATCATTTATATCACTTATTTTCTGGCCAATTAACAACATATCATCCACATATAACAGCAAATAAACTTCTAACAAAGCCAACTGAAGACACAAAGTTATCAAAACGTTTATACCATTGCCTAGGGAATTGTTTTAGGCCATAAAGTGATCTTTTTAACAGGCATACATGATCAGATTTTCTATTTTCATTGACCTTGTGGCTGTCTCATATATATGGTTTCATCAAAGTCTCTATGCAAAAAAACAGTTTTAACATCCATTTGTTCTAATTCAAAATCATAATGTGCAACTAATGCAAGCATGACTCTAATGGTAGTATATTTCACAACAGGAGAAAAAATTTCATTATAATCAATACCAGATTTTTGGGTAAACCCCTTAGCCACTAATCT